TCTCAGTAAGGGTTAACGTTCGCTGTAAGGGTTAAAGGTCGCTGTAAGGGTTAACGGTCGCTGTAAGGGTTAAGGGTCGCTGTAAGGGTTAATGATCGCAGTACGGGTTAATGATCGCAGTAAGGGTTAAGGTTCACTGTAAGGATTAACGATCACAGAAAGGGTTCATGGTCGCAGTAAGGGTTCATGGTCGCAGTAAGGGTAAACAATCGCTGTAAGGGTTAATGATCGCAGAAAGGGTTAATGTCACAGTAAGGGTTAACGATCGCATGTAAGGGTTAATGATCGCAGTAAGGGTTCAGGGCCGGATTAACATAGGGGCTGATGGAGCTGCAGCTTCAGGCCCAGGCCCAGGCCCATGTAATAGGCCCATTGATGTAAAAAAAATGTCTCCCAGTGCCCCCTAGTCTCCCAGTGTCTTAGTGCCCCCATGTCTCCCAGTGCCCCAAGTGTCTCAATGTCCCCCAGCCAGTGTCTCTAGTGTCTGTGTCCCCATGTCTTCAATTGTCCCTTATTTTCCCAGTGTCCCCATGTGTCCCAGCCAGTGTCCCCTAGTCTCCCAGTGTCCCTGGTGTCTACTTGTCCCCAGGTCTCTCCAAGTTCCTAGTGTCCTAGTGACATGGGGACATAGACACATGGGAATACTGGGGTTGACATGGAGACATGGGGCATTAAGACACTGTGATACATAGGGTCACTTGGAGACCTGGGGACATGACACTGGGGGACACTTGGAGACACTGGGAGACATGAGGGACACTGAGACACTGATACATAGGGACACTGAGATCTGGGGTAATTGACACATGGGGACACTGAGTCATGAGGGCACTGGGAGTCATGGGTGCACTGGGAGACATGGGGACACTGAGCCACTGGGAGACATGGGGACACTGGGACAGTGGGAGACTTGAGACACTGGGAGCAATCCATGTATACAGCAGAATCAAACCAAGCAGTTTTTTGGTTATTTTTACAGCATTTTCTCTTATGTCACTCCTTGTAATTTACATCATGTGATGTCACCCATGTCACCCATACATAATTAATTATGCAAATTAGTTAGGCCGGTGTTAAGACACCTCCAGTGTCTTTAGGCAAAACCGTCGTTTAGTTGACCTTCCCCGTCTGCAGTAACAGTAACTCCGTTCGCCTAACCTGTAGTACACGAACCAAATGCAGGGGAAGCGGCAATCTCCTGACCGGGATCCGTGAACGGCTCCAAACTCCCGAACGGCAATGCACGAACTGCTGCTAGCCGCCGAACAACAATATCCACCAAGCGGCTTTCGGTTCCATCCAGCAGTCTCTAAACGTGAAGAAGAAATCCCCCCAATAACGAGACAGAAGCTCCGCATTGAGGGTCAAACAGGATCTGGCTTTACTGTGGGCTACCTGCCCGTATTTATGCAGGTCTCCCACTTGGTGGACACTCCACTAGGGGACCAAATGGGAAACTTAAATGACAGACAGATATGGGGACATTCCAGACACACAGTCACAGATTTTACCCACAGTGCATTATGATTCCCTCCCCTCTGCCCTGGAGATAATTACCGAGTAACTCAATTATCTCCAGGACGAAGCCAGTCGCCATTTTAAATATAACATCACAAAAGACATAAAAATACATAACTTTTAAATACCCGAACGTTTCCCATTCGTATCACATATCCCCAGATAGCCTGGATCTGAGTGCATATTATTAGCGAATAGCGCTCAGATCCCACACACATAGTTCAATCGCCATGGAGTCAAAGTTCTTACAGTCTTTCGGTATACGAATGACTCCATGGGAAGGCTATCTGGGTTAAGTCTTTTCGTATGCTCCAAACCTCCCGAACGGCCGGTATTCGTATGCTTTCGTGGAGACAGCCAGGCGTTCCGTTGTTTCAGCGGTGTTCGGCAGAAAAAGTGTCCGTTTTTAGTTCCATAGAAATAGAGCCAAACACCGCTGGGCTTTCGCGTGGTTTAAAATGGCCGCTGCCTCGTGATCGACATACGAATGACGACCACCCTGAATTCGGTTTAATTGAGAAGTGTCTGCGGTTAACCACAACGTTCTAATTGGGATCAATAGGTTAACCAGCAGCACACTCCTCTCCTGGGTGGCCGTCCATTCGAATGGCTGGGCTATAGAAAACAGCCATTCATACGAACGGGATACAAACAGGCGAATGCAACTAAAATACAAGCAGGCAGGTGGTTCTGTCACAGCCGGTATGTTTTTCCAAGAAAGATGCCAACCCTAACTACTTTTCACATACTCTTGCTTAAGTATGGAAACAAAACTTGTGTGGACAGGCTGACAATTAAATTAGTTAAGGTAATGCTGTCTCTCTAACACTGTGGCATATTCCCTTTCTTCACTATATACAGCTTTTATCTGTCCCAGACCATATACCAGGAGCTTCTGCCTGCTAGTAAGAAGGTAAGGAGACAAGTGGACCAGCAAGTGCTAGGGGACAGTCCTTAGAAAGCATTGAGTGAGCGCATCGTTAGATGCATTTATACCAAGCTCAGGGTGCTGTCTGCATAGTATGCCCTTAGTTGGCCAGCCTGCATGATTGGCAGGCATCCGGACATGCATTCATGCCAGGCTGGCCTGCCAATTCTTTGGGCAGACAAGTCCTCTTTTTGGGCATGTTCACCCCTTTTGGCAGGTTACGTGATTTGTGTCAGTGGCATACCCATTGACTTCTTGCTTGACTGGACACTGCTGTTAGGGGTTATGGATTTACTTGAAAGATGAAAACATAAATTAGAGAGAGATTAACATAGGGTATGTGTTTTCTTATAGCTGCTGTTTTCTTTTCCTCCAGCACCATCACCATCAGACACATGATGCTTGGGAGTGTTTTAGTGTTTTTGGTCGATAAGATTCTGTAATTAGGCCCGTCAAAATTGTCAGCACCAGGCCCACTGGGCTCTTAATCTGGCCCTGTAAGGGTTAACGATCACTGTAAGGGTTAGTGGTCACAGTAAGGGTTAACGGTCGCTGTAAGGGTTAGCGGTCGCTGTAAGGGTTAACGGTCGCTGTAAGGGTCAACGGTCGCAGTAAGGGTTAAGGGTCACTGTAAGGGTCAACAATCGTAGTAAGGGTTAAGGGTCGCAGTAAGGGTTAACGGTCGCAGTAAGGGTTAAGGGTCGCTGTTAGGGTTAACGGTCGCTGTAAGGGTTAACGATCGCAGTAAGGGTTAACGGTCACAGTAAGGGTTAACGGTTGCTGTAAGGGTTAACGGTCGCAGTAAGGGTTAAGGGTCACTGTAAGGGTCAACAATCGTAGTAAGGGTTAAGGGTCGCAGTAAGGGTTAACGGTCGCAGTAAGGGTTAAGGGTCGCTGTTAGGGTTAACGGTCGCTGTAAGGGTTAACGGTCGCAGTAAGGGTTAAGGGTCAATGTAAGGGTTAAGGGTCGCTGTTAGGGTTAACGGTCGCTGTAAGGGTTAAGGGTCAATGTAAGGGTAAAGGGTCATTGTAATGGTTAACGGTCGCTGTAAGGGTTAACGGTCGCTGTAAGGGTTAAGGGTCGCTGTTAGGGTAAAGGGTCGCTGTAAGGGTTAACGGTTGCTGTAAGGGTTAACGGTCGCAGTAAGGGTTAAGGGTCGCTGTAAGGGTTAACGGTCGCTGTAAGGGTTAACGGTCGCTGTGTGCCTCTCGATGCCCTGCAGCCCAGTTCATAAATGTCAGATTTTGATTCCTATTTCTCATATTTTTGTTTGTATTCACTTTCTCTTCATCATTTTTTCCCTGATGAGCCGCGTGAAAATTGGTGTGAAATAGGAAAACAGAAAGCGACCGTATAACAAGAAACTGGAATTCCTTCAGGACTCAGAGAAAGGATACGGTAATTTAACTGCTTGATGTCTGTATTATGGGGAGATATTACCCATTGCCCTTCCACCATGGGAACAGGAGACGTGGCACGTGTGGCATGGATTTATTGAGTCATTGTGCTGAAATTAGTCAGATATTTTGTATTATTGAAGCCATTGCTTTTACTAAACATGGGACCAGAAAAATCATCTCTCTCTCTCTCCCCTCCTCTCTCTCCTCCTAGAAACTCTCTCTCTCCTCCTAGAAACTCTCTCTCCTCTTAGAAACTCTCCATACCCTCCTAGAAACTCTCTCTCCTCTTAGAAACTCTCTCTCCTCCTAGAAACTCTCTCTCCCCTCCTAGAAACTCTCTCTCCTCCTAGAAACTCTCTCTCCTCTTAGAAACTCTCCCTCCCCTCCTAGAAACTCTCTCTCCTCCTAGAAACTCTCTCTCCCCTCCTAGAAACTCTCTCTCCCCTCCAAGAAACTCTCTCTCCCCTCCTCGAAACGCTCTCTCCCCTCCTAGAAACTCTCTCTCCTCCTAGAAACTCTTTCTCTCCTCCTAGAAACTCTCTCTCCTCTTAGAAACTCTCTCTCCCCTCCTAGAAACTCACTCTCCTCCTAGAAACTCTGTCTCCTCTTAGAAACTCTCTCTCCCCTCCTAGAAACTCTCTCTCTCCTCCTAGAAACTCTCTCTCCCCTCCTAGAAACTCTCTCCTCCTAGAAACTCTCTCTCCTCTTAGAAACTCTCTCTCCCCTCCTAGAAACTCTCTCTCCTCCTAGAAACGCTCTCTCCCCTCCTAGAAACTCTCTCTCTCCTCCTAGAAACTCTCTCTCCTCCTAGAAACTCTCTCTCCTCCTAGAAACGCTCTCTCCCCTCCTAGAAACTCTCTCTCCTCCTAGAAATGCTCTCTCCTCCTAGAAACTCTCTCTCCCCTCCTAGAAACACTCTCTCCTCCTAGAAACTCTCTCTCCTCCTCGAAACGCTCTCTATCCTCTTAGAAACTCTCTCTCCTCCTCGAAACGCTCTCTCCCCTCCTAGAAACTCTCTCTCCTCTTAGAAACTCTCTCTCCCCTCCTAGAAACTCTCTCTCCCCTCCTAGAAACTCTCTCCTCTTAGAAACTCTCTCTCCCCTCCTAGAAACTCTCTCTCCCCTCCTAGAAACTCTCTCTCCTCCTCGAAACGCTCTCTCTCCTCCTAGAAACTCTCTCTCCCCTCCTAGAAACTCTCTCTCTCCTCCTTGACTGTCTCCATCTTCCTCTTACCCTCTTCTCTTGCCCCCCTTGTCCTCTTGAATCCTGTTCTCTCCCATTTTGTTCTCTCCCTGTCCAGCCTGTGTCCCATGTTTGGCCCCCAATGATATTTTCGGCTGTATCCGCATGTGACTGTCATTGAGCGGGTCCCTCGTGTTGTGAAGTGGCATTACATCTTCCCATATAACAACACCCCCTCTCCCCTCTCTTCCCTCTGCAGTTTTTCCCACCTCGTCCCTTTGATCTGCTCTGTTATTCTGTGTTGTGTTCATTGAGAATCAGCCTGTTTTGATACCGAGCCCTGATCAAAGCCAGTCCGGAACATGGCACTTGGTTTTTCAGCTATTGATGTGCGAGCTCCGGGCTCTCCGCCTGTTGCGTTATGTGGAGGCGGTAATACTCTTAGTTTCGCTCAAGGGGATCTCACCAGATTAGCTGCTTCAAAGCTGTCAAGTCGCTAATAAAACATATAGTACTTTGTAAGGAGCAAGGTTGGTGTATTGCTGAATATCTGACCCTCCGTTCTCGATGCCCCTCGTCTCGCAGAGCTGCGTTCTCGCTTTTATGTCTAATATACACAAAATACACGATGCGTTAGGTAAATTCACTCATAAATAATGGAGGTATCATACGATAAAAACAATATTTTGAACAAGTTACACTAAATCCTTAAAGTCTTGCTTTTTCTTTCTGATTTGATAGGATATATAAATGTTTACATTAAATTGGTTATAGGGTCATTATTTTAACAGTAATTGATTATCACAAAGTGATTTATTTATTCCACAGGAAATTATGGAGGATTGAAACGTAATTTCAAGTTGTAGATTTTTGAATATTCCCAATCTCTGCACTCTGTGCTCACTCTCAATATCAGCACTCTCTGACAGCCATAATCTCTGCACTCTCTGACAGCTCCTAATCTCAGCACTCTCTAACAGCTCCTATTCTCAGCACTCTCTGACAGCTCCTAATCTCAGCACTCTCTGCTCACTCGCAATATCAGCACTCTCTGACAGCCATAATCTCTGCACTCTCTGACAGCTCCTAATCTCAGCACTCTCTAACAGCTCCTATTCTCAGCACTCTCTGACAGCTCCTAATCTCAGCACTCTCTAACAGCTCCTATTCTCAGCACTCTCTGACAGCTCCCAATCTCAGCACTCTCTGACAGCTCCCATTCTCACCACTCTCTGACAGCTCCTATTCTCAGCACTCTCTGGCATCCCCTAATCTCAGCTCTCTCTGACATCCCCTGATCTCAGCTCTCTCTGACAGCTCCTAATCTCAGTACTCTCTGACAGCTCCTAATCTCAGCTCTCTCTAACAGCTCCTAATCTCAGCACTCTCTGACAGCTCCTAATCTCAGCACTCTTTGACAGCCCTAATCTCAGCACTCTGACATCTCCTAATCTCAGCACTCTCTGACAGCTTCTATTCTCAGCACTCTCTGACAGCGCTAATCTCAGCACTCTCTGACAGCTCCTATTCTCAGCACTCTCTGACAGCTCCTAATCTCAGCACTCTCTGACAGCCCTAATCTCAGCACTCTCTGACAGCTCCTAATCTCAGCACTTTCTGACAGCTCCTATTCTCAGCACTCTCTGACAGCTCCTAATCTCAGCACTGTTTGACAGCTCCTATTCTCAGCACTATCTGACAGCCATAATCTCAGCACTCTCTGACAGCCCTAATCTCAGCACTCTCTGACATCCCCTAATCTCAGCCCTCTCTGACATCTCCTAATCTCAGCACTCTCTGACAGCTTCTATTCTCAGCACTCTCTGACGGCACTAATCTCAGCACTCTGTGACAGCTCCTAATCTCAGTACTCTCTGACAGCTCCTATTCTCAGCACTCTCTGACAGCTCCTAATCTCAGCACTTTCTGACAGCCCTAATCTCAGCTCTCTCTGACAGCTCCTAATCTCAGCACTCTCTGACAGCCCTAATCTCAGCATTCTCTGACAGCTCCTATTCTCAGCACTCTCTGACAGCTCCTAATCTCAGCACTCTCTGACAGCCCTAATCTCAGCACTCTCTGACAGCTCCTAATCTCAGCACTTTCTGACAGCTCCTATTCTCAGCACTCTGTGACAGCTCCTAATCTCAGCACTTTCTGACAGCTCCTATTCTCAGCATTCTCTGACAGCTCCTATTCTCAGCACTATCTGACAACTCCTATTCTCAGCACCATCTGACAGCCATAATCTCAGCACTCTCTGACATCCCCTAATCTCAGCACTCTCTGACATCCCCTAATCTCAGCACTCTCTGATATCTCCTAATCTCAGCACTCTCTGACAGCTTCTATTCTCAGCACTCTCTGACAGCGCTAATCTCAGCACTCTGTGACAGCTCCTAATCTCAGCACTCTCTGACAGCTCCTAATCTCAGCTCTCTCTGACAGCCCTAATCTCAGCTCTCTCTGACAGCTCCTAATCTCAGCACTCTCTGAAATCTCCTAATCTCAGCACTCTCTGACCTCTCCCAGTCTCAGCACTCTCTGACCTCTCCCAGTCTCAGCACTCTCTGACATCCCCTAATCTCAGTACTCTCTGACATCTCCTAATCTCAGCACTCTCTGACAGCTTCTATTCTCAGCACTCTCTGACAGCGCTAATCTCAGCACTCTGTGACAGCTCCTAATCTCAGCACTCTCTGACAGCTCCTAATCTCATTACTCTCTGACAGCCCTAATCTCAGCTCTCTCTGACAGCTCCTAATCTCAGCACTCTCTGAAATCTCCTAATCTCAGCACTCTCTGACCTCTCCCAGTCTCAGCACTCTCTGACCTCTCCCAGTCTCAGCACTCTCTGACAGCCCTAATCTCAGCACTCTCTTTCACTCTAAGACTGCATTAATATTATTAATTCAGGATCAAACCTCAGCCCACATTAAAGAAACGACTGATCTGACAACGATAGAACCTTCGTAAAATAAATCGATGTCTGCCAAAGGCTGTATCTCTGTGATTTGAGACTGCGATTCTCTGACTGTTAGATAATGGCGGCCTACGTGAGACTGGGTGAAAGACAGCTTGTATATAAATAATAATAATAATAATAATAATAATAATAATAATAATAATATAGAAAGCTATCGCAGGAATGTATGTAATAAACACTTCTAAGGGCTAATCCACTAAATTGGGGATTACAAATCACACGACCAAACAGAATATTTAGCTTCATCCTTTTCTGTTCTCCACAATTCCCTATTTATTGGATAAACCCCGTCTCTGTCGCCAACACCAAAAAGAATGGACCTGGGCACAAAGCATCTATCGCCCTCTGCTGGACGGGGTGTATAGACCTAGTGCTGGCGATCATTCCCCAATCAGCTATCATCCTGCAGCTGAAAACATTGTTTCACTAGATCTGATTTATTTCATTTTTATTAAATGTCACATTTACGTGAAACAAATCATGGTTTAAGCACACGGAACGTGTGTGCCCTTTGTGCCAACAAGTCAGTGAGGGAGAACGTTGGTGTCCCAGATGTTTTTTACTATATTTTACACAACACTCAGCCAGCCTTTGGGATGGCTGGGCATCCTGAGAATGTAGTCCAGAAACAGCCGGCAGCCAGGACTAGCTATCAATGCATTAGCGGATAAGACCAGGGTCTAAAGCTGCTATGTAGAAGATGTGGGAATGCAAACTGAAATATATATTTTTTCTTTTGCTCACATTCCCATCTTACGTGCCAGCCTTTTAAATGAGCGTGGCATATTATAAAATCAAATAGGATTAGCGTTTATTGAATTCTTTTTGATCTAGCCAGTACACACAGCAGTGGTTGCTGCGCCCGGAGCGATGCTGTATTAGAGAATCTGTTTGGCCAATATACCTGCTTTCAGTCGGCAGTCCTATTCAATATTTCTAGCAAGCGCTCCTTCCCTTGCCAAGTGTGACGTGGGCAGCAGACATGGCGGCACTCGCTTCCAACAACTTAACCAGGTCTGAGTGTTTTTCTCTTTGTGAATGATTCAAACCCCAGGCAGAATCCTTGACACAAAATGTATTTTTTGGAGCAGCTAATGTTCACTTGGGACATCGAGTCTAATCCTTGCCAGTCTCCTTTCATTCCCTTTCTTGATACAACCATATCTCAATTTAATGTTTCTTCAAACTCGTTATATAAAGGTGACATCAAGACTCTAACAACATCACATGAGCATGTCTAAGTAGCAACAGTAAATTATACATAGAAAGCGAGCAGGATATAGCGAAATGTTAATCTGTATCCAGACATGAATTACCAGAGAAATAGTTACCTTTCTTACTGTGACCACCTCTGCTGGAGAGCCGTGCCACGCACCCACAGCTGTACCTTTCAGTAAAAATAATATATTAATGCCGCAACATATGAAAAGACATACATAACCAAATACCACAGCGTTTATCTGGTACAACTCCCGTAAAACCTTTCCCGCCGTACGTAGGAGGTTTTGTATAAAGAATTCTCACCGGGTTATTTATTAAAGGGAATATTCAGAGTGAATTCAAGTCCATAATACTGAAAGTATTTCTGATTTAGAGATTGATTCTAGTTTGGCTATTTAAATTTTAAATTCACTTTGAATTCTCACATTATTAAAAATCTTGTTGCTGTATTTTTTTATTTTTATTTTTTATCTTGTTCGCATGGTCACGTTTTCTGGTGTAAAATTAACAGCAGAACTACAACTCCCAGAAACCTCATGGCATCACGTATGGAAGTATTTTTGGAGCAAAACGGGGGGAATTAATGCAAGCTGTGAGGAGGGGAGGAAAGAATGTGTAAAGAGTGCAGATATAGACACAGCTATTTTGTATACAGGCTGTATAACATAATGACAAGGTGCTACAAACATGCAAATAGATGAGCAGCTCTTAAAATCTAACTCCTAACAAACGTATCATTTTCTGGCTATAATTATGTTTTTACAGGAAGTGGCTGATGGAAAATTGTTTTATTTACTTCCAACGCTGAATTGTTTATTCAAAGTTTAAAATACAGAAGAATTGTGGAAACAAAACAAGGGATGGCTACTATATGATCAGTGATTTGAAGTGGTCATGGTGCCCGGAATATGGATGTGTAGTGTTAAAGTGTACAACGCTGCGGCGGAGGGTTTGACCATCCAGACCAGACCAGACCAATAACTGCTCTCGAAGTGTTACTAGTACCACATGGAACACTCTATAACCGTGAAATGACCCGTTAAAATGGGAGACAGATAGGCATTACTTATAAGTGGGAGGATTGGCTAAGGCCAGCAGAGAGAATGAGCATCTAGGAGCTTAAATCACTGGAAGCGGCCTTCAAAACCGACTATAAGATGGTTTAACATCTGATCAAAGAGCTCACGCATTTCCAGGGACCTTGCATGTATGTTGGAGATGTAATAGACATAGAGACACGCTATTTCATATTTTCTGGGACTGTACATGTATACAAGGAAATGTCTTACAGATTACAGATTACTGAAGCAGTAATCAGATTTAAAGCAGACAGTGCAAGGTCAGGCAAGGGAGCTGAAAGAATCGAAGAAAGCAGCCTGGATCCCTCCCACAAGGAACCGGGATCACTCCCACAAGCAGCCAGGATCACTCCCACAAGCAGCCAGGATCACTCCCACAAGCAGCCAGGATCACTCCCTCAAGGAGCTGAGACAACCCCCACAAGGAGATGGGATCACTCCCTCAAGGAGCCGAGATAACCCCCACAAGGAGCAGGGATCACTCCCACAAGGAGATGGGATCACTCCCACAAGCAGCTGGGATCAGTTCCACAAGGAGCCAGGATTACCACCACAAGGAGCAGGGATTACTCCCACAAGGAGCAGGGATCACTCCCACGAGGAGATGGGATCACTCCCACAAGCAGCTGGAATCACTTCCACAAGGAGCCAGGATTACCACCACAAGGAGCAGGGATTACTCCCACGAGGAGCAGGGATCACTCCCACAAGGAGCCGGAATCACTTCCACAAGGAGCCGGAATCACTTCCACAAGCAGCTGGGCTGCTTCATGACAGAATGCAGGCTACATGTTGCTAGCAAAAAATAACTGACAGCTGCATTGCCAGTATTTATAATATACCGGTACCGGACAGGCAGCCCAGGATACCATCTGCGTCAGCCAGGCCAGGCGCCTAGCAAACATTATGGTTCCAGTTCGGCTATTTTGGTGTAAAATTCTAAATTCACTTTAAATTCTCATTAAATAACCCTTATAGTTTCATGTGTCTTCCTCTCTGTCTGCTCTCTCTTTGCTGACTGTCAGGTCAGAGCGTTTAACAATGACAGACAGGAAGCTGCGATGGTGGCGCTCAGTTACAAGATAGAGCTGGGGATTTCTACATTTAATTTTATTTATCACGCCTTACAGCTTAATATTTTGAAGGACAATAATAAAAATACTGTAAAGTGACAGTTTTCCTATAACAAGTGATGGTTCTAAGTTAAAATTACAAATTGGTCAATTTAAAAGACGCACGGCACAAATGTTTTTATTACAGTTTTTTGGGAGAATTTGAAATAAATTACAGCAAATAAGACGTTACAAGTTCAGGAAGTGGCTCCACCAATCAGGAATCTCCTATTCTGATCTCTTCTCTCATAATTGCAAAGATAAGCAGCATGCGTTATTGTTGTGTTTGGAGGTACAATGGTTGGATATTCCCAGTGAATTCTCAGTCAGGGCACCTTTTTATGTTTAAGTGACCTGCGTCTAATTAAAATCGATCTTATTTACTATGGGGAAAGTATCTCTTATTATATATTAATAACAAAGGAGCTGGATCAGCTCTTGGACCGAGTCTAATATATTCCCACTCCCTGCCTTGCTTTACAAGCAAAGTATACGAGAAGAGAGGCAGCCAGCGCTCCCCCTGTGCCCTGAGATTCCGAAATTCTGCATTGAAGCAGCTGGCACTGCTGGAAGCGGTAAAATTGGTTTGCACATCAATGAGAGCCATAAAAATTTGATAATACATTTATTTTGCGTTTCCATTTGCCTGCCTTCTAGGTTTAGCTAAGCCTATAATAGTATGTATATGTTTACATATAAAGTTATATGTATATATTACTCTGTACACAAGACAAGTAATGGTATGAAAACATCTTGCGGTGGAAGCCGAGCGCAAGTACTGGCAAGTTAATCTGTCTGAGGATTCCCAAATCCAATTCTCTCTGCTCGCTTACAGCTCTGCGTCCTGTTGGGGATAGCTGTAATCCTGTTAGCATGCTTTTCAAGGCAGGATCTTATTTCAGAATTCGTTTCCGGACTTGCTACGGAGGGAAACAGGACAGGAACGGGCTAGGAAATTAAAATGACTGAGTAGGATGCCATCCGCCCACCACCCCAGTGTGAACAAACTATATATATACAGCAATATATATAGAGAGAGCTTTATTTACAGAGCTATCTATACCTGCAAGGAATATGACGAACACAATGTGTACAGAGCAAAGTCATGAATTAATACATTGAGAAACAAACGATATATGGATAATCTAAAGTGAAATTTTTCTGGGAGTCGGTGATGTTAGCCGTATGAACCCAGTAACGTCGATGTAAAAAAACTGATGAAATTGGTATATTGTAACACATTTTTATTGGACCAACAGAATTTTGGAACGGTAAGCTCCCATTCTAAAGAAATGCTGAAGAAATGATTTAGACTTGAGAAATCTTGTCATTCCCAAATTCTGTTAGTCCAATAAAAAGGTGCTAGTTTAAGCTATTTTACTGTGATTTATGATAGACTTGTTGCTAATATACGTACTGTACTAAGATGAAATATAATTGAAGTCTTTCAAGTTCCCCCTTTCACATACCTGCTCTAATGATGAAAATCTATATTTTTGTATATAAATGTCACACTACAGTGAGCAGAACATTGTATATTAAGACACTGGACTGGAAAGTGTATGTATTTCTTTAGATATATGTATTTTATTTGTATAATGAATAATATTTTAGGTTACACACTTAAATGTCAATAAAAAAGAAGAATGAAGTGTTATTGTCAAGGACAGACGCCCTAACTCGCAAACAGTGAGGCAAGTTTAACCCTATATACAATAAAGACCTATTACGGGGCCTTAACCTATATAATATAAGGTATAGAGAATATTCAGATACAGGCCAAGGTCAGGGTTGGAGACAGACAGACGAGTATAACAGAGCCAAGGGTCAGGGATATCGAATACAGAGTACACGAATTAGCAAATCCAAGTTAGCTACCAGAAATACCAAGATAATAGGAACAAACTCTCATGCTGACAAAAACCAGGAGAGGTCACAAGGGCGTAATATAGACCCCTGTGGCCTCTGATTGGTGTGTGTCACGTGCGCCCAAAATGAACGTGACCCACGTTGTGTGGGCAGGGAATTCTGGCAGGACGCCCGCACAAGACACAGGCCTCAACTAGTATAAAGGGAGGAGGAGAAAGCTGTGTGATTGCCGATGTTAGAACGGCGACTGATGTCATTGCATCCAGCATGAGGATTGCCGGATCAGAAGAGATCAAGCCTAAGACTGTCGAGGGATGTCCAGAATGACAGTTATCTGGGACGTCCTACTTACCTGGTGCACCCAGTTACTCCTCTGCTGCAGGTTTTTGCTCTGATTGTATAGAACTGAGAACTGGAGCTGAACTGTTGTGTCACAGACTAATTCTAACTAAGAAATGACCATTGGGAATTAAAACCGAATTGCCAAATGTAATTCTTACTATGTCCATATATTACATAGAATATATTATATAGAATAAGGATTAATGCAGAACATCAGGTACAGGAAATCTTAATGAAAGAGCGATATCTAAGCGTGTTCTATGCAGAGCACTTAATATATGTGATTGGATAAATAACGAATTTTCTGCGCCAGGTATAGTGTGGCTAAAACATATCATTTGGCGAGAACACACGGGAGATCTATAACCCCTCCTGATTGTTCTCCTTTTTCGAGAGCGGTGTTTGCAGTTAAAGATCCTGTGTGATTGCGGTCTGATCCCCTCACGGCTATGTGACCCCCCCAGCATGTCCACTCATTTCAGCTAATGAGGTGTCCCCAGATTGAAAATCATTCAATCAAAATGGCAGCCATGTTCGTGGTTTACTGTTTAATCTCAGAGCTGAGCTTGTTCAAATTATCTCCTGTATTTCTATGGGGTCTATTTGCCTGCGGCTGCAAGAGCACGCATAACAAGGCCCCATAGCTCTCGTACTCCTGTCCTATGACCAGTACCCCTCTCCGGCAGACGCCACTGCAAGTCTATAAGAGGAAGACACTTCAAGGCGCTGCAATTTACTCATCTATATGAATATCAGCCTCTAAGACTCTAACAGTGTACACTGCGCTAATTTTGAAGGATGGCTATAAGAGTCTTGAGAATAATCTCCCCAAGGTTAAACACACTGTGGTTACATAAAACATAACTTTTATTTGCGCCTTAAAAATAATTGTAGCGGTTGTAGTGCTAATTTAAACAGACTTCCGTTATGTATACCAGTCCTTGTCAATATAGGAAGGATATAATCCGTACAACGACAGGTGTAATCTTTCTCACGTGAAACCCTGAATCTCAGGATAACTGACGAGTTAAAGCTTGTTTGGCCAACAGCATGAACCCCGCTACTGCAATGAAAGGAACATTATCCGGACCCCAAAAATAATCCCACTTACAGGTAGCAGGAGCATCCTCTGAGTACAATGGAGTACTGGAGATATTTTTTCCAGGTATTTTAATATAAATGATGTCAGTGTACTTATCAGGACTTACACCGCAATACAGCACCTTTACCCACTTTAGCAGTCTGTACCCCTAGGATTTCACTGGGTCTGTCAGCAAATCCGGCATACAACGTGCACACTCTCATTTCAGAATTTAATTTGTCTGGCAAATATTCACAATGGCAATCCCAAGCAGACAAATAAACCAATGCATATATATGGGTTTATTAAAAAAAAAAAAAAAAAATATTTTTCTAATTTCTTAGTATAAACGGAACTCACTAGTGATTCTACGCAGCCCTATCGAGCGCTGTTCATGTACTAAACACACTGAGCTCATTTCATTTTTCTAAGCGTACATTTTAGGAACAGTCCCTGAGGCTGCCCAATTTCGAATCTGTAAAAGATAATTGTTCCTGGCTGGTATATATCAATAGAGATGTGTGGGAGGAAAAGGTTGGGTACAGAAGAACCTCATACAGACACTCTGCGTGACACGAAATTGCAGGGTAAGAATTAGTCATAATAGTTTTATAGACCGTCCAAAAGAAAGATAACAAATTTGTCAGTAGTGAGGAATCCCTATATTTATATTTCTGGGAGAGAATTGAGCACTCAAACTCCATATATTCATCTTTAAAGTCCTTTATTTGAATGACAGTGCTGACGGTAACAAACCATTGCCGGACGTTGAGGAGCCTTTCACAACAGGGCACTTAATCATAGGTCAACACTTATCTCATACTTTTAAAAGAAGCAAAGAGCACATATACACCTCTGCAAGTGAGACCGCCAGTATCTGCAACCTGCAGTCTAGCACAACGAATACGTCAAACCGGCAAAGCGCTCCTTCCCTAATTAGATAAATACTTACCTAGGTATGGAAACAAACGTCAAAGAATTATTTTTTCTTAGTACAACATATTAAGTCTCTGGCAAAGAAACATTGCAATGTACCTAGAACTGCTCCAGCAATATCAAATGAGGGATTATTTAAAGGGAAATCGTTTAATGGAAATTACCCAGTGTTTTAAATGTACTATTCAGATAATTAGTTAAAAATAATGCAATAATATTGAATAGTAAGAAAAAGTAACTTTGCTTTACAGTGACTCTGTCACTTTTTTTTAATCACCCCCCCCAATGTAATATGTCTACTAATATGGTGTCGGCCACAGGGTGTAGTCAGGGGATTCTCATCTCATGTTCCCGCTACAGGGTTACTAGTTTCTTCCATTAAAGGACCACTCTAGGCACCCAGACCACTTCAGCTTAATCAAGTGGTCTGGGTGCCAGGTCCAGCTAGGGTTAACCCATTTTTTCATAAACATAGCAGTTTCAGAGAAACTGCTGTGTTTATGAATGGGTTAAGCCTTCTCCCAATTCCTCTAGCAGCTGTCTCATTGACAGCCGCTAGAGGCGCTTGCGTGCTTCTCACTGTGAAAATCACAGTAAGAACACGCAAGCGTCCATAGGAAAGCATTGATAATGCTTTCCTATGTGACCGGCTGAATGCGCATGCAGCTCTTGCCGCGCGTGCACATTCAGCAGACGGGGAGGAGAAGAGGAGGATCGGAGGAGGAGAGCTCCCCGCCCAGCGCTGGAAAAAGGTAAGTTTTTACCCCTTTCCCCCTTCCAGAGCCGGGCGGGAGGGGGACCCTGAGGGTGGGGGCACCCTCAGGGCACTATAGTGCCAGGAAAACGAGTATGTTTTCTCTTTATTGAGTTCCATACTGCCCATTCTGTCTTCAAGATGGACATCTGAAGGTCATTTAATATTTTACTGAAAAGTCAGATGCCTGCATCGGGGTTAAGAGACTCACAGATATCACTGCCTGCATCGGGGTTATGAGACTCACAGATATCACTGCCTGCATCGGGGTTATGAGACTCACAGATATCACTGCCTGCATCGGGGTTATGAGACTCACAGATATCACTGCCTGCATCGGGGTTAAGAGACTCACAGATATCACTGCCTGCATCGGGGTTAAGAGACTCACAGATATCACAGCCTGCATCGGGGTTAAGAGACTCACAGATATCACTGCCTGCATCGGGGCCTGCATCGGGGTTAAGAGACTCACAGATATCACTGCCTGCATCGGGGTTAAGAGACTCACAGATATCACTGCCTGCATCGGGGTTAAGAGACTCACAGATATCACTGCCTGCATCGGGGTTAAGAGACTCACAGATATCACTGCCTGCATTGGGGTTAAGAGACTCACAGATATCACTGCCTGCATCGGGGTTAAGAGACTCACAGATATCACAGCCTGCATCGGGGTTAAGAGACTCACAGATATCACAGCCTGCATCGGGGTTAAGAGACTCACAGATATCACTGCCTGCATCGGGGTTATGAGACTCACAGATATCACTGCCTGCATCGGGGTTATGAGACTCACAGATATCACAGCCTGCATCGGGGTTATGAGACTCACAGATATCACTGCCTGCATCGGGGTTATGAGACTCACAGATATCACAGCCTGCATCGGGGTTATGAGACTCACAGATATCACAGCCTGCATCGGGGTTATGAGACTCACAGATATCACTGCCTGCATCGGGGTTATGAGACTCACAGATATCACTGCCTGCATCGGGGTTATGAGACTCACAGATATCACTGCCTGCATCGGGGTTAAGAGACTCACAGATATCACTGCCTGCATCGGGGTTAAGAGGCACACAGATATCACAGCCTGCATCGGGGTTATGAGACTCACAGATATCACGTTATAAAGTTGTCTTTGAAAATAATGTTGCAAATGGTCCTCTATTAAAAGTGTCACAGTAGAGTCCACTCCATTTTTTCCTCCATGTTGAGAAGATCTGACAGGTGTTTAACCTGTCCTGTCGGAGCCAGTGAACGGAATATTAAAGGGTTTGATCCTACGCCTATAGGGATAAAAAAAGATTGAGTTTCAAACGCAACACGTTCCAAACTTGGTTGTTCCCTCTGTAATACAATAAATGAGGACGGAAAGGAGCTTTGTCAGATTTTGAAACCACATCAGCTCTTTTGGATGTTGCAGATTTCCTGGGGAAAAACAGTAGTGCTGGGTAATTGTTTTGGAACGGTTAGACGTGTTCTGTTTGGTCTTCTTTTCTTGATCTCTCCCCAGAGGCCCATTATGGTAATTTTTCCCTTTTATAACTGGCAAATTGCATAACGAGCCAGATGATAAAGTAGCAAGCAAGGCAGAAATTTGCATTTTAATACAACTGTCTAAATCATTTGTAGACACAGGGGGTAGCGTGAGGAGGTGCCCAGAAATTCAGTCAAATATTATCCAGAAAGAGATATTTCATGTCAGGGTATGAGGGAAGTCCTAAAATCCTAAATTTTCACTCTACCTGGACTTCGCTTACTTAAGCTCTGATATTAAATAGACCGGATTCCGATGCCATATAGTTACCTGGACGTCGAGCATCATTCCCGCAACACGTTGTGTGATTCCACCGTCTCAGTCTACCTCAACAACCCACGCCGGTGAAGTTATATTTCTGCATTAACAGTACCAATTGTGCACATACTGCGATGGCATTGATAGACTATTATTACTGTCTAAATATGGACTGTTACTGCTATTATGGAATGTGAACTGTATTAGCAATATGGTGTTTGGCGAAAGTAATCTCGCCACTTGTATTTGGAGGGGCCTGCTTGCCAGCCTCCTCCCCACAGACTATGGGCCCTGCAGGGAAACCTGTAAAAGACTACCAAACTTGACCGACTGTTAGCACTGATTTCCATGGAACTGTTTTGGGCATAGGACCATGTGCACAGTCGGTCAAAACTATGACTTCCAGGAAATTCCTGAACCCCTGAACCGATCTGGGTGATTTTTGGATTTTTGGGGTTTTATGTGTTTTTAAGGTACTTTTTAAGGGTTTCATAAAATTGTATGTTTTTCTGTGCTTGGAGATAATTAGGTTATATTAGTACAGTTCCTGATTCAATTATCTCCCAAGCACAGGGGAGGGATTCTATTGTTTATGTATGGGAGTGTCTCACTGTTTGACTCTGGTTTTATTGGTTTGTTCACTTTGAGTCCCTGGGCCCAACAAGGTCCACCTTGTTGGGAAACTTTCATAAAAGGCCAGTGGGCCTCCATTACAATTCTGTTCCTGCTTACCCTCAACATAAAGTCTCATCTCCTGTGTGGGGGAAACGGCTGTATCTACCCTGGGATTGCTATATCACTATACTCCCCAGGAATTATAATCACTAGCTCTTATCAGAGCTGTTCCTGCTACGCTGTCTGGAAGTAGGAGAGGTCTGCCCACTGGAAGCTGGAGCCCGGTCTTGGGTCCATGGTGGGTGAAGGACGGAAAGACCCCGGTGCAGCTGCATCGCTGGAAATGGGGTCTGCAGTGCTTATGGTGTCTGGTGGAGAGCTGGAATTCCTCGGTGAGCACTAGGAGCATCGATTGGCGGAGGCACTCAGTCGGATTGCCAGGCGGTCCGTCACATGATGTCTTGGGAGTCCATGGTTTTCCCTCGTCTTGGAAATAGTTTGAGCCAGAACCAGGGGGCCTAAAGGGCACCATAGCCATTATTTAGAAATTAAGTGGGTATGGTGCTTAGACTGCTGATTTAAATCTGAAAAAGCATCATGGGAGTGCTGTGGCTTTACAGTGACTGAGGAGCGACCAATGGTCACCCCTTGTTTAGCGTGTAGAAGGAAATGAGAATTGTGTGCCTCCTGCAATATGTCTGTCCCTGGTGTAAGATATCCCTGAAACCTCCCGTTTGGTAATGAAGTAGGTTTGAGAGACCGACACACATGAAACATGTTGGAAGAGCAGTATCAATGTGGCAAAATTGCGAAAGACTAAGACAAATCTATTCTGCAACAAAGGCCTTCTAACGCAGCTCTGTAACCGACAATCCACCGCTGATCTCCATTTCTAACTGAACACAAGTGGTGAGATACGCAATCATTAAAAGAACATTCACAATTCAATACTTAGAGAACTTGAAGGGGGGAAGACCGCGCAATTTACATAATGACAAATCACAGGATGTAATTGTAGCCTGGACACAATGTTTGTGGAATAATGTCACTTTATCAGACGAGTCAAGCTGTTACGCTTCTAAATGCATACATCACTAAGTGGTGCTGACAGTGAGAGTGACCTCTTACAGCAACTTGTGAATGTGTGTTTTAAGATACAAGCCTGAGATTTTAAAGGGACACTAACACATTTTACTTACAATTTAAATGGACTCTTTAAGCAACTGATCCACTACAACCTATTGTAATATGGCAAGTTATTGTATTATTACAGCTCAGAGTATTATTACAGCTTATTATATTATTACAGCTCATTGTATTATTACATATTATTGTATTATTACAGCTCATTGTATCATTACAGCTCAGAGTATTATTACAGCTATTGTATTATTACAGCTCATTGTATTATTACATATTATTACAGCTCAGAGTATTATTACAGCTTATTGTATTATTATAGCTTATTGTATTATTACAGCTAATCGTGTGATTACAGCTTATTGTATTATTACAGCTCATTGTGTTATTACAGCTTATTTTAATATTACAGCTCAGTGTATTATTACAGCTTATTGTGTTATTACAGATTATTGTATAACTACAGCTCAGTGTATTATTACAGATTATTATTACAATTTATTGTATTATTACAGCTAATCGTATGATTACAGCTTATTATATTATTACAGTTTACTGTATTATTACAGTTTATTATATTATTACAGTTTACTGTATTATTACAGCTTATTGTGTTATTACAGATTATTGTAATATTACAGCTCAGTGTATTATTACAGATTATTGTATGAGAACATCTTATTATATTAGTACAGCCTATTGTATTATTACAGATTATTGTGTTATTACAGCTCATTGTGTTATTACATCTTATTTTAATATTACAGCTCAGTGTATTATTACAGCTTATTGTGTTATTACAGCTTATTTTAATATTACAGCTCAGTGTATTATTACAGCTCATTGTGTTATTACAGCTTATTTTAATATTACAGCTCAGTGTATTATTACAGCTTATTGTGTTATTACAGATTATTGTTTAACTACAGCTCAGTGTATTATTACAGATTATTGTATGAGAACATCTTATTATATTATTACAGTTTACTGTATTATTACAGCTTATTGTGTTATTACAGATTATTGTTTAACTACAGCTCAGTGTATAATTACATCTTATTTTATTATTATAGATATTGTAATATTACAGCTCAGTGTATTATTACAGATTATTGTATGAGAACATCTTATTATATTATTACAGCCTATTGTATTATTACAGATTATTGTATTATTACATATTGTTGTATAATTACAGCTCAGTGTATTATTACAGCTTATTGTATTATTACATAGTTATATAGTTACATAGATGGAAAAGAGACTTGGTCCATCAAGTTCAGCCTTCCTCACATTTGTTTTTGCTGTTGATCCAAAGGAGGCAAAAAACCCAGTCTGAAGTGCTTCCAAATGTGCAACAAACTGGGTAAAAATTCCTTCTTGACCCCAGAATGGCAGTCAGATTTATCCTTGGATCAAGAAGCATTTACCTTACAAACTAAAAATTATATCCTGAATATTATGTTTTTTGCAAATATGTAACCAGTTGCTGTTTAAATAACTGTATAGATTCTAATAAACCACCTCTTCAGACAGAGAATTCCACATCCTTATTGGGCTTACGGTAAAAAAAAAACCCTCTCATTTGCCTTAGACTAAATCTCCTTTCTTCCAGTCTAAATGCATGACCTCGTGTCCTATGTAAAGCTCTGTTTGTGAATAGATTTTCAGACAATGCCCTGAGGTGCTGTTTTATTACAGTTAAGTGTAATATTACAGCTCATTGTGTTATTGCAGCTCATTGTATGTTTATATATCAGCTCATTACAATAGCTCAATGTATCACTACAACTCATCGTACTGTTACATCTTATTGTATTATTGCACTCAGCAGGCAGAGATAAAGCAGGGGGTCTGGCAGACTTCAAAGAAGAAGATATGGGAATTCCCCCAATACCTCTACACCGCTCCCCCGATCTGCCAATGCCAGAAGGCAGCATTTAAAGTGGTCTTCTCACGCTCGGCATTGCCGACCTTGTAGTGCTTGCCGCCTTGCAGCCATTGCCTTGATGGCCTTACGGTAAATCCTAGCCTGGGTAAAATATATATGTTGTCCAATCAAATTTTTCCACCTTGCACATGTCTAGCAGGAAGTAATTAAGAAAGAGAGGGAGCAATGGCAAGAATGAGATGTTTAAGAATTCCGTGCTGCTACTTACACATGATATACAACCACATTCCTATACCTAGGCTCAGTGAGACTAATGGGTTAAAAACACCCACAGATCATCCAAAGTTCACCGTTTTCCTAACAGTCAGAGTCAGCTGGTTTGAGGGAGAGAGTCGCTTGAATACATTTCTAAACCTCCTTCTCTCGTCTGCGTTTTACATCAAAAAGTCAGCTCTATACCAATTGTCCCATTTTTCCTCATTTTTAGATGCTTCTGTCGTGGAGATAGATGCTGTTTTAATGGTGCCGAGTTTTTAAAACCGAGCTAGAGAATTTTCTTTATTTTCAAAGGCACCCATTACAGCTGCCACAAGGGTCATTTTTGATCTCTCTT